TACCCGCAATTTTATCATTCTGCTTGCAAAACCAAACACTGACACCAAAACTGAGAAGCACAAATCATTAATCTCAAACACTTAACCCTGGAGCCGTCGTGACGACATGAGCTTGGAGCAGACTTTGTGGGTAGCACGGCGAGGAATTCAGACCGAGCAGCAAGAGGATCTTCTTCAGCATTATCCCTTCCTAGCATAATAACAACTCATAGGACTTTGAGGAAGCTCGCCTAGCGTGACGTAAATCCTCACATTCCTTCTTTAGGCACTTGTGCAACAATATTATACAATGTAAGTCCTAATTCGCTTTAGGTCCTGAGGTTGTTGTTCGTTACAACGTAAACCCTCTTATCTCTGTAGGCTATTTGCATAATCGGATGTTATGCAGATGTAAGTTCCAAATAATAAAATTGACAAAATTAAATAATTGAATATCATCTCTATATGCAGATGTAAGTTCCAAATAATAAAATTGACAAGATTAAATAATTGAATATCATCTCTAAAAATGTAACCACACAGTAGGATAGTTTGGGAAGTCATTGAGGATTCTTCTCAGGATCTATGACATCCTCTACCTTTTCTTTTCTTTGGACTCTTGAAATAACTGTTCCTGTTTGAGCTACTCTTACTTGCTTTTCCACGTCCTACCGTTTGAACCTATTAAATAGGGGAACTTGTCGGCCATACATAAAAGGTTCGCAGACCAAATGAATGTCACAAATCTCTTAGTTTGCAGGATTGTGTCTATCGCCGAGGTCTACAGTTATCTTTCGGGAGGGTGTAGTATTCGCGGTATTGGGCACGATTATGCAAATTATTGGACGAATGAGATCCATTTGGTCTCATTTTTTTAAGAAAATTAAAACATACTACTTTCAAAACCCAAACTATATATCTAGTATATTAAATTAAATTTCAAAAAATTATTTTCATGTATTATATTTTCAAATCATCGAAAAGTTGACCGACAAGTTGCCCGACAGCCAATCAGGAGTGCAACCTCGTCAACATAAAATTTTAGCTACTCGTCAGCATAAAATTTTAGCTATTTTCCTCCGAGGTGGAATGTCATTCGATCAATATTCCAACAATTTATTATGCGTATTGTCAGAATATGATCTTGAGAGTGCGGAGGTAGTTCAAAAAATTGAGCTAAATTCAGTGCTTTCAATTTACTCCATGTTTCCTCATCCACTGATGGTCGAACCTTATCGAGGACTTCTCGTACTCCAGATGAACGACACTTGCAGTTCATTGATTTTGCGCTAAATAACCTACAATAATACATCATAATGGGTTAAAATCAAATGATGATAAAAAGATGAATTTAAAAATTAAACCTAAAACATAACCGCTAAGCTTTACAGATTCGAAATAAAACCCTAAGCTTTACAGCTTCGAAATGAAACCTTAAAAATTACCTAGATTCAAAATCTTTCTTTTTCTTTGACTCATTCTTCTCCTTACGGCTGCCTTTGACCATTTGCGGTGCCTCCTCGCATTCGGGTTTCTTAGCCTCTCCCAACTCCGCGACATTGGTCTCTACCAAATTAGTCTTTGTGGTCTCGGCGCTTACTTCTTCCATTTTAGTGTTCCTTCGCCTAAGCAATCCACACTCTACTGCAAAAGGAAGACGACGGAAAACCCTAGCACACGCAAATGCCTGTTTTCGAAAATGAAGAGTGACTGTATTGGTTTCTACCTTTTACGAAGTTTTTAAAACTCGATTTATTGATGGTATAAGAATGTTACAATTTGTAATTAAGAGGTTACAAGTTCAGCGTTATATAGAAGTTTCAGGCAGGTTACACGTGCGGTATATATTAAAGGTTACAACCAGGTTACAAAAAAATTACTGTCGCATTACATATTTCTTTACCGCGGAAGGTATATCTGGGGTATATCACGGTTACAAGCGCGTTACATGACCCTGTACCGCAGAAGGTATAACTTGGGTATACTCCGGTTACAAGCACATTACATGGACTTGTACCGCGGAAGGTACATGGCTAGTATATCCCGGTTACAATCGTGTTACTGCAGGCCAACCGCGAGATATATAGGAAGGGTATATCGGAGTTACAGATCAAGGTAAAAACGAGTTACACCACGGGTCGGTTAACGGGTCACGCGCGAAATTTTTTATATTTGTTTAATGCGGTGGGCCCGCCGAAAATTATGTGGCGTCTTCTGATTGAATATCGCACGCATCGCTGCGTGGGTCTTACGTCGGCAAATTTTTTCCCTTCGCAAGACGTACCTGTGCTCCCTGATTCCTTGGAGGCCCCTCCAATTAGTGAAAAATTTGTCTACTTAAGACGCATGCAGCGATGCGTGTGATATCCAATCGGAAGACGCCACGTAATTTGCGGTGGGCCCACTGCATTAAATTAATAAAATAAATCGAAATAATTCCGCACTGGTCCGTGATGTAACGCGTTTGTACCCTGATCTGTAACTCCGATATACCCTTCCTATATATCCCGCGGTCGACCTGCAGTAGACGTAGGGTTAAAAGCTCAGCCCCCCAAGATCTTATATTACATTAATAACTATATATTAATAATATAATATAAAGTAGTTAAATCCCCCGATTCACGCACGATTCGACATATGAAAATGGGTGTCTCTCCTAACTAAACTCGACATCCCGGACACGCCAACGCAGTCCGTTTCGTCATCCAGGGTCGCCCGGACGACTTCCCCAACGGTCGAGTCGAAAATGCGTCTAAATTCAAATTACTTCAAAATTCTTGCTCGTGCTCGATCGTAAAGCCTCATACGAGTGCGGGAGAGGTGAATTTCAATAATTGTGTACGTCGTTGTGTGAATTATGGTATTCGTGCATCGTGAGTGTGCGCGGACGACGTGAAGGGTTTCCTAGGGTTTTAGATCCTATGGGTACTCGACTTGAGTTTCGTCGTGCTTGTTTTAATCGACTCAATTAAGCTTTGAGGATTTCGAACCGGTCACATGAAACTGTGAGGAGTCAAGAAGTGGCTTGAATCTCTAGTTGGTGCGGGTTCCAGTCTAAGTCCTCTAAGTGTGTCGGCAGGAAATCCTAAGGCTAGATCCTAGGCTCTAAGAAGAGTAAAAGACCTCACAAAAAATGAGGTCAACATCTACCCCCTATCGGAACCCTAGGAGGAGGTTCTTGATGGTGGATGCTTTCCTCATGTTCCTTTTGTTACTCATATTTGATCTCTTTCCTTTTAGATTTGGCCAAGGATTCGTCGGTCAAACCGTAGTTACGGTTTTTAATTTGAATATTCGGTGGGGTTTAAGTTTGCATCTCAATAATCCTTCTCATCTTGTCCTCCAAGCTATCAAATCATTTTTTCATCGATAAAAACCTTCCTTTTATGGTTGAGAACTTTTCCTCCAACCCGAATTTAATGCGCCCGCGCCCTACTTCTTCTTCCAATCTCTTTTCCTAAATATCCACTTTCTTTGTTGTCATCTCTCCAGGATCTTTCTCTGATACTAATTTAATACAAATTGGAGCCAAAATCAGTGAATAAATTGCAAGAAATATGTGGGAAACCTAAATTAGGGCTAATTTAATTAATCTCCAAGCAAACAAATAAGATACAATGGATCTACAATTCAAGAAGTAGATTGACTCTCCACAAAACTTAGATGCCGCTAGGAACGAGAAAACAAAAGGAAAACTGCAGGAATCAAAACATGAAAGCAAACCCTATGTGATTAGCTCTAATAGAACACCCCCAAAATATATTCAAAATTTCCACCAAGACATATCCAAACTTTTTCCCTAAAGCCCCTTTAATTCCTCTTATCGCGTACATGTTTAGGTGCTTAATATGCCTCACTCGGGAGCTGCAATTTTCCTAGGTGTGTTTCTCCCTAGACCAGCTGAACTGGCGTAATAGAAACCTCATAGGTTTAGTTGATAAAATGTTTCATTTTGTGTTTCCATATGAGATGGGATTTGGAAAAAGTTTTTCTTTTCTCCCCCATGTTTATTATATTTCAAGCTAGACATAATAATCCGCATGAAGACTGATATTCTGGACCTTCCTGAGCTAGTTTGTTCCGATTGAGGATGTGCTCTTCGTTAGATGGTGATTAATTTATTACTTTACATGTTTTCATATTTCAATGTATTTTGTCTTCTCTGGTGATAGTTCTCTATAACCAAATTTGTCTAACCTTTTTACTGTTTGGTAATAGAATCTTAATGTTATAATAAAAATTTATTATTTTTGACGAACCAAAATAAAATCTTTAATGAGAATTCGAGTAGAGCGTGCTGTCACATGCTATGTGTGCGCTTGCAGGTTTGGTGAAGGTTCATCCTGCAAAATATTTGGTTTACGCTCAATTTGGCGTAGCCTTACTGATGTTTTTGCAGTAAGGTTGTTTGGTCCAATAGCTATGAGGAAAATTCTAATTGCTTGAGAGTTATAAAACAGCTTTCTTAGAACAATAAAAATGTGGCCCTAGAAAAGTTTTTTTATTGTTCATTTCTTAAATAAATATACAAACTGGATATTTAACTAAGGTTTCAGTATAATATTATAATTGCATGAAATTGATATTAACACTTATTTTAGTCATTTAATTAAATCACATTTGTGTCAAATCATTTTTTCCTTAACAAACACAACCCACATTAGAAAGCAATCTTAATTTGATTTTCCCAGAGGGAAAATCATATGCTTTAATACTGCATAATGCAACACAGAAGAAGTGAATAACGATGAGAAAAGTTATGCAAAATTCTTGACCAATCAATGATTTGGGTTTGAGGCACAATCTTTCCAAGGATGCTCCCCTTTTTCTAAAGAAGTACATGAAGCTGGCTATAATTCTTAAAATAAATTTTATCTACATTATTTTTCTTAAAGAGTTAGCTTCTGAATTTTCACAGGAAATTTTTCTTAGGTCTATATTGGAGGGAAATAATTGAAAATTTTGTAATATCGCTCATTTTCTGGTTAAAGATTAATTATCTTCAAATTTTTTGACTGAAGGAATATGGAAGTGCCGGCATTGCTCCTGGACCTATGGGTTGCTTGGCTCTGGGGCAGAACCTTTTCAGAAACACAAAACCAGTTGCCAATTGGTGATGGAATCCAGAACAATAATACAAACTCAAGGTCCGTTATTCACTTTGCGAAAATAACATTGTTTATTTGCCGTTTCTGTTAACGAAGGAATTAATTTGTAATTTTTTTTATATTTACGTATATTAGATTATCTTATGATTTCACTTTTTTTAATTTTAGTTATGTAGTAAGTCCTTCTTTCATTATTGTTTCTTGTGGTCGAGGTTGGATTATAAGCAACATTTGTTGGAGAATGTTTAATTCATCTGAAGGTTACAAAGTCTTTTTTTTTTTTATATATATATATATCTTCATGTTGAGTTGTTATTTACAACCTTCAAACCTTCTACTCAAGGAGGAAAATTTTCCGGAAACTATATGGAAAATTAAATTATCTTATGATATTTACGTATATTAGATTATCTTATGAATTCACTTTTACTTTTAGTTATGTAGCAACGCGTTCTTTCATTATTGTTTCTTGTGGTCGAGGTTGGATTATAAGCAACATTTGTTGGAGAATGTTTAATCAATCTGTAGGTTACAAAAACTTTTTTTTTTATTTATATATCTTCTTGTTGAGTGGTTATTTACAACCTTCAAACCTTCTGCTCAAGGAGGAAAATTTTCCGGAAACTATACGGCCTTTAATAATAGGGACATACTTTATTTGGAGAAATGAAAATCGCACAGCTGAAGCTTATATGCTAAATAATGATTAGGAAGATTTACAAACCTATCACTTAATTCTTGTGTATTTAAATATCTAACACCTTAAGCTCAATTTTAGGAAAAATTTTCTGTTCGGACTCTGTAAGTAGCTCTACATGCGGACTCCCTATAATATATCGTCATGTGTGTTATATCGGGCCCACCTAAAAAATATTAAAGTGTAACCGCGGACTCCGTAATAACCCTGAATAACCTCAAAATAACCCCGAAATAACCTCTGCGGTTCTACTTTATTAACCTCGAAATAACCTCCCCGAAATAACACCGTGATGGTTATTTCAGGTTTATTTCAAGGTTATTTCAAGGTTATTGAAGAGAAACTCATATATTCCACTTCAATAATCTAGAAATAACCGGAAATAACCTCCGCGATGTTATTTTATGGTTATTAAAGTGGAACCGCGGGGGCTATTTTGGGGTTATTTCTGGGTTATTGAAGTGGAATATATAGGTTTCTTTTCAATAACTCTGAAATAATCTCTGTGATTGCACTTCAATAACCCCGAAATAACCTCCGCAAGTTAGCACACGTGACGACATATTATTGGAGTCCACAAGCAGAGTTACGCAAGGAGTTCAGACAGAAAATTTTTCCCTCAATTTTAACATATATACATGAGAAGATGTATTTTAATTTTTAAAAATTGAAGTAGTGCTATTTTTGATGTTATATGAAAGATTATGGATGCTATGTGCTGTTGAGATTTTCCTCCAACAAAAAGTAGTCACCATATCGTTAGTTCCGAACGTAGTGTTGAAATCTATAATGTTAAAATTCTTCACTCTCCTCCCCATGGTGATTCCATGTTGCTTCGGGAAAAAGCCTAGTTAATTGGAGAGGGAGAAAAGAATGTAAGAAACTTTAATCCCAAGTGAAAGGGTGAGAAAGAAATCCCCTCTTATATCTAGGTGCCTTAACTAAAGTGTATCGCACGATCAACTTGATGTAGTGGAAGATTTGCGAGGCCTTGAAAAATTGAAGAGAGGAGGCGAAAGGAAGATGAACTTTGTTTGCATAATCTGGAATAGTTTGCATGAAAAAATTAACTCAATTAGAGAACAAGAAATATTCATCTCACGTTTGATTATTATGGAACCTTAATATCTATTTATAATTGATAATCCTATGAGGTAAGATTAATTTCTTATAAGGAATCCAATGATAATTCAACTGAATTGCCAAGAAATGCAAATAATTTATGCTTATGTTACATTATTCATTATGGCGATGATATTTTTAAAAATTTGATATATTTTTCAATCCTGTTTGATTTTGATGTGAACTGTTATTTGAATATTGGTTTGAATCATTTTCTAGAGATAATTTTGAACATTATTTGAATAAGATTTGAACATATTTTGAAAATACATTTTTCAGGATTTGAATAAGGCTTGAAAAGTGCTTTCGTAGTTTGAATAAATCATTCTATTATTCGATTACCGCATATATAACATAATAGATATAGCCATAATAGATGACTAGTACGAAGATGGTTCTCTTATAGCATGACCATTAGTCAATTGTAGATTGAAGATGGTTACAAAATTAATTTAATTTTGATTCAAAGATGTTTGATTGTATTTTATTGTTCAATCATAGTTTGTTTAGTGATCGATATCAATTAAAGTTTCTTTAATTGTGTGATATTGTTCTAAGGCTCCTAGAAGGTGTTTTAGGAAGCAGGTTTGGTAAGGAGGGGGGGGGGGGGGGGGTAGGGGTTGGGGGGGGGGGGGGGGGGGGGATTGTAAGGGAATGAAGATATGGGTAATCAATGATATTTGAAGGGGGATAGATGATGTTCTACGGCTCTATCGATTGAAAATAGCGAGACAGACAACAAAGCGCTGCAGCGCAGATGTCGAGGAGATTCACCACATATTTCTAAACAAGTTAAAAAACACCATTTGCAAAAGGAAAAAGATGCAACACTCCTTAGGATATAAATGAGAGATACAATCTTTAAAACACAAATAAATCTCAAAAGTTTGCTAAACCAGAAAAGAACAACATATAAAGTCCTAATAGAAAATAACCCTAATTAAAAATAAAAAAAATAGGAAATAAGGCAGGAACATTATGAATTCCCACAAATAAGGCAAGAACATTATGAAGTGTAGCAAATAGGAAACCAAGAGGAAACAACTCGGTTGGTCTCCCTTATTTCATGGGATTGCGGGTTTCGCGATCAAGAGATCACGGGACTTTCGATCCCGCGATTATGCAGGGAGCTTCCATGTCATTCTCCTCGGCTAGGAGATGCTCATTTTTCTTTGGAAGGATCTGGATCTCACTATCAAATATTTCTGCTCACAAAATACCTAAGAAGATTTCTACAATTCTGTGGTGCACTACTCTTGTATGACCATCTATTTGTGTTGAATCCATTTGGCACATAAGATCCCGTATTCTCCGTGAATACATAGAATCCGGCAGAAGACCCCATATGACTATGAAATTGAAGAAGATCAGGAGAGAAAGAGGGAGGAAAACTCTCGATGGAGACATTAGAAAAGCATATATAATTATGATCTCCGGCAAGATGGAGATGGGCAATTTCACAAAGATGCCTCAAGCTCTCTGGAGAGAGAGGACCCAAGGAGAGAGAGAGAGAGAGATCCTTGAAGGAATGTCAGAGAGTATTCTTTTGCCCTTTTATACATGAGGGACAATTAATCATGAAGTAATGACTATAGTGTTTGTAACTTCACTGACAAGCTTTCTCTGACATCCTGGATGGGAAGGCTTTAATGTAGACATGATCTACACCTGGTGCGTAATCCAATGTTAATGACGTGATTTGCGTCCTTTTGGCTTGGGCAAGAAGCTTGGCCTCAAAAGTTTAAACGCTGAACAGACATATATTTCTCGGTTTGAGCATCTTTTATTCACTTTGGCTGGTGGGTTTGATTTAGCCACTTCGGGTGGCAAGCCCGATTCAGCCACTTTGGCTGGTGAGCTTAAATCAACCACTTCAGTTGGTAGTCCCGGTTCAACCACTTCAGTTGGTAGGCCCAATTACTTCGGTTGGAGGGTTTAACTCTGCTACTTCGGTTGGTAGGGCGGGTCCAACCACTTTGACTAGTCGAAAATCATCGTGATCCGGTATTTGTGTATACATTTAGTTCTCTGATTCCCTCAACTCTTCGATCAGGTTTTTGTGATTCCTGCAAGAAGAATGAGGGAATAAACATATCATCCTCTTTGATTTCCCTTTGAGCCCTTTGAGGTCGAGACATAACGCGCTTTCAAGGATAAAATTCTTTATATGCATTGTCAGCTCTTTGGCTTATCCTACGAGGAATTGGATTTTCTCCCTTTTGACTGCATTATTAACGTCTTTGGAGTGAACTTCTCCCAGGAGCATTATCATGCTATTTTGATGCGATTTCGACAGGGAGTAGTCCCCGGATTGCTCATCTGTGGTTCAAGAATTCTCTCTTTCCTTGGGTGCATTGGCTTTTGCGCATAAAAATAAGCTATATTGACTCACCTGTTCTGTTGAGGTGTTGAGGGTTTTGGTTTCAAACGTCTAGGCTTGATTTATTGGAACGGTTCTTTGGTGTGTTTTGTAATTGGGTACTTCTACCTTTTTTGGCCTCACTTCATTATTGTCCTGTGTCAAAAACAGAAGTTAATTTTGGGTTTCAAATAACATTTATTATGATATTTATTCAAAATTTATGATGATTGTACTGTCCTTGGAGGTTATATTAGGTTGTGGAGGAGCGGAAAATGTATTTCTGTATATCGCGTTAGGAGCCTTTTTATCTGCAAGAGTAGAGGCGTTTTGTTGTGCGATGAAGATCAAATATTTCATTGATGCTGCAACAACCATTATCTGCTGTTGGGAGAAGGAATGGTTGGCAAAAAAGAAGGAACACCAGTTGCAGGACGAAGTGTAGTCCCAAAAAAGCGCGAAGTTTTTGGAGGAGGAGCCGCACTTGCAAAAAATTTCGGTGAATTTAAATGATCTGATAGAAACTTTCCCTTCCATTGAGTTTTCCCCTACCATCGGTGGTGTGATTGTGCCGGGTAAATCATTTGACTTCTTATCATAGTTCCTCTTGTTTCTTAATTCTTACATATGTTGGCTGGTCCTGATGAAGGACCTAGGGAATGGTCTCCTAGCGGGGATGGAATCCCTGAAGCCTCTGTGCTCGAAGATACAACTTCAATGCTTATGACTGCTGAGTGTTCCACTAATGGGGATAGTTTTGTGGGTTCTCTCCATATCCTTCCTCTCTCCTAACCGATTAATATGTCAATGGTTTTCAGGAGAGTTAATGGGTCAGGATGTGGACATATTAGATTTGAATGG